CCATTATATTAGGTACTTGTAATCCCTATAAACCCCTACATAATCCCAGTTTCCATTTCATTTTCCATTTTCTTTTCCATTTGATTCTCCATTATAGTAGTTTCCATTATATTTTCCATTACTCCCTATATAACCCTATATAACCCTATATAACCCGTATATGACCCTATATAACCCCTATATAACCCCATATAACCCTATATAACCCCTATATAACCCTATATAACCCCTATATAACCCCTAAACTCTAAACCCATTATAGTAGTTTCCATTTTCTTTTCCATTAATCCCAATACATCTGAAGAGGAGCCTTCTGGGATGTACAGAGGCGGGGTCATCATGGGGAAACCGATATGGGGGTTTCCCACACGGTTTAGGGTTTAGGGCTTAGGGTTTAGGGGTACCATTTTGGGGGTCCCAATAATAAGGATTATAGTATTTTGGGGTCTATATTGGGGTCCCCCTATTTCGGTAAATTACCATATGCTGCCAGAATTTGTAAGACTTTCTGTGAGCGCGCTGCAGAGCGGTCAACAGTTTGACCTAGGCCCCCTTACTAACAGCAGAAAGGGTGCGCATAACAGGAAAGATGCAGTTAGCGGGCCATGGAGAGGCGGGTTTTGTTTTGCTAATAACCAGCCGTTGTCTGGAACTTGGGAAACCGTGAAGTTGCTCACACATGTGCTGCAGATACCTCGTACTCTATCTAAGCATGAAAGCGCTTTGTGTTTCCTTCGGGTTCCCTCTGGCCTTAGCTTCAAAGTGGACTGTCAGCGACCTCGGATTGATGAAAGAAATCTTACACCATGGACAACGCACCCCGAGCATGGCAAATCCGAGGGTTGCGCCAGCATTAGGCATCTTACTTGGTCGGAATGCTCAGCAAGCAGTAGCTTTCCCGTCCTTAATCCCTATAAGCCAGGAGGAGACTCTCCAAATCCTGGTTTTTGGATGAGATAAAGGGTCTGAGGACAAAAGCGCCCGCTCGCGTTCTTTTCCACGCCAAGCAGAACCCGATTCCATCCTTCTCCAGGCCTATTCCTAGGACTTGGACACTCGTAAAGGCATGGGGGCAAAGCTTACGAAAGCAAATTCAACAGACATTTAAACTCCTAACGCATGAAAGGAGAGGTCTTCTGCTATACATCCTGGACGCTCTCAAAAGCCTCATCCCGAAAACCTCTAATCCCTGAACCCTATGACCCCAGGGCTTCACGAACCCGTATCAACCCTAATCTAATCCAGCCTACATATTTGGGTGGATGTTGTTGAAATGAATTGAAAAGGCTGCCTACAAAAGTCTTGTCCCTTCCTTGTGTCTACTTCGAACCATGCTAATCGAAACCTACTTAGATCAATGGAGAATCATTTGATTCCCTCTTCTACCCCCCATGATGTCCTCAGAACCTCCCAAGTTATTATTAGGTGGCCCCTTTTTAGCAGTAGTCTTCCCGTTTTAACTGTAGTCCCTTGATGGACTATTTTTGAATTTCATTATGGTATAACCCTACGGATAAGACACTATTTTTAGTATGTGGTGCTACAGTTAAAAGTGGTCCTCAATGTTCTTTGTTGGCCCTTGGATTTATTGCCCTAGGGACGCTCAAAGCTCCAAACGTCCTACTCCGCTCCCAGAGCAAGGTTGGTGGCGCCGCGGATTTCCCGGGCATCCGGCCCCGGGTGGAGTACGAAATGCGGAGCCCTTTGGAACGAAACCTTTCCCCCAACTAAGACTGTTATAAGTTCTACGTGAACACACACCCCTTTCCTTTTATCTTCAAAAGACTGATTAGAGATTTCGAATACTGAGGACAGTCAGCACCCCCAAGCACTTCAAGCACTAAGTCCCCAAACCCTCCACCCCAAACCTGAACCCTTAACAACACAGCCACAAACCCCGCACCACGAACCACCACTCTTAAGCCCTTGTAGAACCCCTATACACCCCTATACAGAAGCTTCAAGGGACCTGATATAATCCCATATGGTAGTTTCCCAAAATAGGGGGACCCCAATATAGACCCCAATATACTAGAATCCATATTACTGGGACCCCCCAAATGGTACCCATAATTTTTGGAAACCCCCATATACCCCTAGTCCCTCAGGTCTTCTGCAGAGCAGCCAGTTCGAGCGCCTTCGGGCCTGCCTGGACTCCGCGGAAGATGTCTTTGTTCTGAGCCCTGAGCCCTTAAGTGATGCAGGGTGTCTCAGGAGTTAGGATTTTTGGGGGCTGGGGCGTTGCAAGGAGCATCTCCGGATTTAGGGGTCTGCGGGGTTCAGCGTAAAGGCTTAGGGTTTAGGGTCCCAAGATATTGGAGTCCTGCACCCTGCATCAATCTCCTGATTGTCTCCATATTTGCGTAGGGTCCCTCGGGTGGCCCCTTCTTGAAAATGCAGGGGTTTTCACGTGTTTGGGTCTGGGGGCATCTGAAGATTAGAGTTTGGGTCTAGGCTTCATAGGTAGCATTGTAACCCTAAACCATGACCGCAACATACCCTGAAAGATTTGAGGCTGGGGGGTGGGGGTTGGGGCTTGGGATCCTTGAGCCAAATATGTAAGGATCCTAGATCTTGGGGTGTATACTTGCAAAGATAAGGCCGAGTCTGGTCTTTTCTTTGGTCCTGGATCCAATATCAAGCTACATTGCCAGTCAAAGATGGGGTTTGTGCAGTCAATCTCTCTCTCTCTCTCTCTGTCTCTCTGTTTCTGTTGCAAGATGACAGTGGATATTTCACGGGTTTTTGTCTTCAGAGGTCGTGTGTTGCGCTAGTGTATTGCACTTGAATGCCTTTAGCGCCTCCTTCTGCCCCGCCCAAACGCAGGGAACAATACCTTATAACAACGGAAACAGAATGGAACTCACCAAAACGTCCAAAGCGGCTCTTACGAAAAGCAGTTTTTTGACAGGACCCTGCTGAGGGTTGCCTATATGTTCGCAGATATATACCCCACTGCAGGATCGGCAACGCTAAGTAGACCGTGATTAGCTTTGAGCCGCCAGATTTCTTGGTGGATTAAGCCCCTAAAGCTAAACCGCGAAGCCTAAAGTCCTAAGGGAAGCCTTGAGTTTGCGGAACTAGGAGCCTTCCCCACAAAAAAATCATACCGTGAAACCCAAAAAGTATCTTAATTCTCAGAGGTCCTACCCTTGAAGATTACGAAGTATACCCTAAACCCTAAACCCTAAACCCTTCGGAGGGATCCTAAGCCTTGATTTCTCCATAATTTGGCGGGAACCTTCCACCCTAGACCTTCAAAAGTATATCAAGGAAGCCCTGAACCCTAAACCCCATACACCCTACACCCTAACCCTAAGGGTCCAAGGACCCAAATAATAGGGTTTTAGGGCCCAAATACCATAATATTAATGGTATTGGGTAAGATTCCGAGGAACCCTCCGCGTGGAGAGCACGGGCCGCTGGTGACGCCCAGGTTCGTGCCCTTGTTCGGCGGCTGCGTGCCTCCGCCATGGTTTAGGGTTTAGGGTTTAGGGGTTTAGGGTTTGGGGGTTTAGGGTTTAGGGGTTTAGGGTTTAGGGGTTTAGGGTTTAAGGTTTAGGGTCAAAATTGGAAAGTTTGGACCCAGAGGCTTTTGACCTTATGGGCAGATAGGTTCGATAGTCATAACAACTGATGTTAGGTCCCAGTACTTAATAATCATATATTGACCCAAAACTTGTACTATAATTACTAGTACCCAAATCCCAAGTACCTAAACATTATTAGGTACTTGGACCCTTATAGGGTAACACGAGTTCAGCAGGAGGTCCGTGAAATTTGGGCGATGAACAGGCTATAGCTACTGCCGCTAGGAGAGGGCAGAGCCGAATGCTTGGATTTAGGATTTGGGGCTATAGGGGTTTAGGGTTTAGGGGTTCGAAGGCTTCTGGTTTAAGACCGCTTGCGAGCCATTGAGTGGCAAAGCCGTCAGTCTAGGTTGGCATTTGACAAAAACCAATGTAAGGCAATGGCTCAAGCCCCGGTAAAGGTCCTTGAGGTCCCTAAGGCCTTGCTTATGAGACATCGTAAACCCATTGTATCAATGAAACGGCGACACGTCACCTCAACATCAAGAAGGGCTCCAAATTTTTGAAACCCTCACTCCTGCTAACCCTATACATCCCCCTTCTCCCTTTGAAAAGTACCTTGCGCACTGAACCCCAGACCCGTAAACCCTATAATCTAATCCCTTAATCTTAGCCCCTAAATCTGAACCTTAAACTTGAACAAAAAGCCAGGTGCGGGCGGCAAGCTCTAAGGGTTACGGAGCATGGGAGAGAGATAGCGACTTGACCGTCCCAAAAAAGTTCAGGCTTTAGGGTTTTGGATGTAGGGTTTAGGGTTTGAGGGTTTAGGGTTTAGGGCCGACGTATTCCCTGGTCCCCAATATTCCAACCCCAGCCCCCTAGTCTTAAATACCAAGCTGTGAAGATTTACTTTGTTGAAATGGTGGGAGGTTTTAATATTGGGGGGAGGTGATTACCTCCATTAGGGGAGATATAGGAGTAGGTGGGCATATGAGCGACCTAAAGTTGCGTCAAAAGAACCAAGGCTACGGACGTCGGTATTTCATTATTGGGAGCAGCCGTTCTAAGGGAAGCGAGATAGGGGCCGCAGTTAAAGCGAGATCCGGGTATTTCATGAGTGCAAAATAAAAGCATTGTAGCACAATGACATTTAAGCTAGATCCCCCTAAGTTCAGAAAAAGCGAGACCATGGCATGTATGAGCATTTTGTAAGTAAGCGAGATCAGGGGCCGCAGATAGGAAATAGTTTCCCTTGCCCAAACAAGAACTTTCGTCCGCTGCTCTTAATTTGATTTTACGCCCTAAACCCCAAAACCGAAACCCCAAACCCTGCTTGGCTTAATTACCTCAACATAGAAGATTGGAGAATCAGATGGAGAATAAAAGGTAAACTGGCATGTAAGCTGGGTTATACAATGATTGACAAGGTTTAGGGGAATTACTGTATTGTGTGTTACAGCCAATTCAGAAATAGAGCTTCAATCATACCAGGGTCCATAACATGATTTATGGAACAGTCCTTACTTGAGGTCCCTACAAACCCGTTACATAGAAATTCTCCTCGCAGTTCGTTCGAGATTTTAAGGTTACCACAATGGGTATATCTTTCTATACATAGATATAGTAATTAAAATGGTTTCCTCGAATTAAGTAACTTACACATATCTCCTTAACAGCAACCCATTAATCTACTAAGGTGGTATCTGACTACTCAACACTTAAGTTATGGGGTTCAGGGGGGTTGGGATGCCTGGTAATCTCTAGGAGGTATTTGGGTTTATGGGATTAGGGGTTTAGCGTTTTGGGTGTACGGGTTTAGGGTTTAGGGATGTATTAAGCTCCTGCATGCCTTGCAGAATTCGGGTATAGGGTACCTCAGCTATACTTCTAATTGATAGTAGTCATTTGGTCATCTACAGTACTTGGAGCCGATCAAGCCAGTGAAGTTGTGGAATAGGGCCGCTTATCACAGCATGTTTCCTATGTGTTGGCTACTGCCCGTGGATAGAGAGAGAGACAGAGATAGATAGATATATACACACACATTTATATATATATTTTTTTTTTGGGAGAGAGAGAGAGAGGCTCCTGCTAAGGCGATAATATTGGTACAGGTACAGTTCGATTATAGGTAGGGGGGAGTATCTAACCCTTTTGCTTTGTAGACTCTTAGCTTTGTAGACAACGTTTCTGAGGCTGCTTGCAGAGCTGCCTTGCTGTGCAAGACCTGACCTCCCCAAGCCGGTATGGGCGCCTACAACATGGACCCTCTGTAAACAGACAGTAGTCTGCATGGGGCCCCATTTCGGTCAGAATAAATACTACCAATACTAATAGTACTTAACGAGCTTACTTGGTACTCCACCTGTGTTATGCATTCTTCCAAGGCAATGTCGGAGCTCTTCGCAGCCTCCCGCTCCTGGCGGAGATGCCTGAGGGGCCTGTAAGTAGTGGCTAGGCTCTGCAGTCAGTGGTATGTGAGCTATGGTCTAAACTCCTTCAAGGGGGAGTAATATAGAAATTATATAGGGAACTACTATAGGGGATATTAAGGGGGATACTAGGAGTTTAGACAGTGGCTCATGTGGTTTCACGTGTTTGCCATATATGCTTTCTCTTGACTAACCCTTGAAAGTACTTTCTTTTTCTCAAGGAGCGCAGAGGGTATTATGTGGGCTAACTGTTAAGCGCCTAAGCCTCCAAAATCCCCACACGTCTTGGCGGCGTTTCAAGAAGGCCCAGCGCAGTGTGTGTGTGTGTGTGACCGCAACTTGATGTAAAACTGGGCTTCAAAAAATGCAAAACCATTCATTCATGAATGCTCAGTCCCTCAAGCCTTAAACTCCGACACCCAGGATTGACTGACAGTCAATAATAAAGCAAAATCATCAAGTCCTTAGCGCCTCCGTGTCCAAAAAGGTGGTTGGTTCCAAGAGGTTAGGCACTCTCGGAATTTTAGGGAGTCGTGAGAATAATGAGAGGGGTGAGAGGGCATAATGGATTGTGAGGTCACTTACCTCCCTAGGACAATTACCGGGGGTGGAGTGTGGAGCTTCTAACAACCTATATATATATTTATATGTAAAATTTCTATTTGCATATATACATGTGTATATATATATATCTGTCTACCTGTATATTTATATATCCTATATCCCATATATTACAAAACCACCCCACCCCGAAAAGGCTTTATCTACCCTTCATATTCCCATTATATAGTCTCCCGCTCCCCTGAAAAGATCCTGGAGCCCCCCTTGGATTAAACCCCCCCCCGAAAGACTTTTGTCTAAACTTCCCAGGTCGTCAGGTTTTCTGGCAACAGAGGATGCGGAGGATGCTCGCACTGCAGCTGCCTGACCCTAGGCTTTTCCAGTCTCAACTCCAAGACCAACACACTTTGATAACCTATACTATTAAAACCTTAATATACCATAGTACCATATTTTCCACGGTTTAGAGTGCTTAGAGTCATGCAGGATTTTTCTTATCCACCGTCAGAACCTGATTGCCTCATGATAGCTGCATGGGCCCCACTCTCTGAGTTCCCAAGATGCGCTTGTTAAACTGAGTTGCTGTTAAGTATCTTAGTTTAAGTTTCTATATGGCGAAACCCGATTATTTACCATATATAACCCATTATGGTAACTTAATTCAAGTTCCTCAACAGCAACCTAGTAAAGCAAGTGAAGACAATGTAGAAGCCTATATGAGAAGCCTGTTTGTCCCTCGCATACCTTCCTGATTACAGCACAACATGCCACCCGAAAGCCCTAGTTAAGCATGTTTTGGCCCGAACCCAGGGAACGCAATCCCCCTCAATAATTACGTGGGATCCTGGTATTGACCATGTTTTCTTCCGTGCCTTGACGAAGCTGGAGCCGGTTATCTAGTTCCCGTAAACCCTTTACACCAATACATAGCCTTGTTTCCATTCCATTTTCCATTCTTTTCAATCTGACCATTCTTGGGGGCTGGTAAAGTCTGCATAAACCCTATATCTCTACATATACCTACAAAACTCAATATATCCCTACTTAAGCCCAACATGTCCTTATATAGCCGTATATACAGCCTTTATATCGCTATTTAAACTCAACAGCCCTATGTAACCCTATATAACCCTGTATTGGACCTTCTGGGGAAGACCAGGACATCTTCCGTACTGGTGGTGGTGGGGGCGAGGATGACCAAGTCTGGCAAATGCTGGACGATGCTGGGTTGCTGTTAAGGAAGTGGAATGACGTTACTACAGCAAGGAAACCCTATAACTATGTATCCATATTATGGTAACCCTATATACCAATGTTATGGTACCTTCATTGAAAACTCCTTAACCCTATCATTTACTATATACCCCATATTAGGGTAACTTAATTGAAGGCTCCTTAACCTTAACAGCAACCCAGGATGAGGACGGGGTGGAGTCGGAGAGCTCCAACATGGACTTCGGAGAACAGGGAGAGTCCGAGAGTCAGGAGTGGAAGGGTTGAAAGGTTGCGCGTTTAGGGTTTAAGGTTTAGGGTGTAGGGTTTAGGGTTCAGGGTTTAGGGGTGTAGAGTTTAAGGTTTAGGGTTTAGTGTGTAGGGCTTGGGGCTTAGGGTGTAGGATTTAAGGTAGGGTTTGAGGTGACTGCGAGAGCCGGGAGTTTGAGGGTTGTCAGATAACTGGAACCATACAGCGGCCGCTGTCTGTCTATGGCCGTAGAAAAATGGCTATACCCTGAACTCCCAAATTGGGGAAGGTTAATGTAGACCCATGATTAATAAACCCCCTCCTTTTAAGGGCCGTAATATTTGGATCCCTATTATAATCCCTATTAAGAGGAGGGGGTTTATTAATCAGGGGTCTGGGTTATGTATTCATTCCTCAAGTTGCGATGTCTGGATTAAGTTGTAGGGTTTCAGGGCTTGAGGCTTAGGTTTTGGGATCCAGGGCTTAGGGCTACAGGGTTTAGGATTTAGGGTTTTAAAGCTAAAGCTGAAGGTGCAGGAATTGGCATTTATACCTTCCCTGGCACAGGTCGAAAAATAGCTCCCTGTCAGGAGTTTTCTCCATCGAGCCCTTCAGAGTGGTTGGGCACTGAAGAAACAGAAGCAGATCCCGGTCCCCCTGTCCTTGTTGAAAGGATTGAGGGGCTTTCTAGGAGCTATGAGGGAATTTTAAGGGTTAAGGTTTGAAGGATCAAGGTTTGGGTATTCCAGAAGTGAAGGGTGTTTCAGGGGGACCCCTTTTTGGGGAACAGCCCAGTAGGCTACGTTGAGGCCCTAAGAGCAAACATATCTACAAGCCATTGCAGGCATAGTTGGGTAGATAAGTTTTGATCTAAACCGTTTTGCATTGTGCTTTTTAAGTAGGCGTTGGCTCAAAACTTCATTTTCCCCCAAACGACCCAGGTCATGGGAGAGCCTCTTCCGCCGGAGGCAGAAGCAAGGGAAAGGGGAAAGGAAAAGGCACAAGCGGCAAAGGCAAGGGAAAAAGTCGAGCAAGGAGAACACGGCTGGTCTGGAGGCCAGTGCAGGCCGAGTGACATGCCTGGGCGCATTTGTACAAAGCAGGTGCCATGTAGGCACTTTTCGCACGTTTTCCGCACGCCAGGCGCGTCATTTCAGGCGTGTCTTCCAGTGCTCAATCAGATTAAGATTAGGCTGGACATTACCGTAGGAGTCAAACTTGACTCAGCGCACGCTGTAGAAAGCTTGGACCGACAGACCTTGCAGCTATGGTCAGCCAGTTTACGGTTTTTGCCTTAGGCTCACGCTTAGTCTCCTGTGGTTGAGGCCTCACCCGGACTCCATCTTCAACGGGTTTGGTCAGTAGACTCTAAAGCTAGGGAGCTCCCCACAAGCCTCTGGTCCACGAAGCAGAACTGAAGGGTATGATCCTCTCCTCGCATGATGACATCAGCAGTAGTTTTAGCAGGAGTATATCTTTATTGCCGTGAGGATGTCTGGATTCGTCAGCGGGACCGGATTGAAGGTGGCAAGCATGATGCAAGTTTCCACGAACCTACACCCAGACAGCAATCCCCAGACCAATGACGAAAAAACTCATGAAAAGGTACCTGGAAACAAAAGCTCCCTGTTTGAGATCTCTGAACAACAGCTTTGGTGGGCTTGGTTTGGGTAGGCTGTAGTTTGGCTGGTTCTTACGATAATGGTCCTTGATTGTGTGTATAGGGATATACAGATTAAGGCTTGATGAAGGAATCTGGTCTGGGTTTAGGGTTGTCAGACTCACGGTCCCTCTACAGGGAGTTAGTTGCATAGGGTTATTTAGGCAAACGCAGGGTTTCGAAAGTAGGTCTTACATTTGTTTTGTCCTTTTGTGGGTCTCCACTATAGTACGGCACCTACTGCTTGGGGTTTCGAAAAAGAGTGAGCATAATTTGCACAATCTTCGTTTTGAGGCTTCAACGTGTCCCTCAGGCCAGTAGGAGTGTCTTGATGCGAATTTACAAGGGATTAGCTGATTAGCAAGAAGATCCTATACGTTTCCCAGGTACTTCCCGTAAGCCGTTAAGGTCTCTCATAAATTCGCAACCGCAACCCTTAACCCTATGTGAGTAGTATTTTATTTGGGGATATTATGGCACCCATTATAGAGTAAGATTATATCCTCGGGGTATAGTATTTCATATAAGGAATGTAATCTTACTGGGTTTAACCACCAAAAAACGTTACTCATGTGTCCCTATAGCGTGCCTATACCCGCCTGCAGGGTCCCGCATGTATCCCTACTTGGAGGCTTGGGTTAATAATAGCTTACTTGTAATCGTAACTAAACCTTTAAACCCTAAACCCGTAAACCCTCAACATATATAATGTATATATATATATAGAAAGCCTTCTACAAACTCACATGACATCGGCCCGGCTCTACCGCTGCTTTCTGTTCTGGAATCTAAGTCACGGGTATAGCCCGGCCTCCTCTGTCACTGCGCTGCTACATCTGATGGGGCCTTAGAGGGTTTAGGGTTTAGGGTTTGAGGGTTAGGGTTAGGGGTTTAGGGTTTTTAGGGTTTAGGGTTTTAGGGTTTTAGGGTTTTGGGTTTTAGGGTTTAGGATTGTAGGGCTTGGGGTTTAGGGTTCAGGGTTTGGGGTTTAGGGGCGGTTTAGGGGCGCAACGTTTGGTGTTCCCCCCTCCCCACTGACTAAGAGTGGTATCCTACACCTAAGTACCTCTTGAGATCACCATTGGTGGATCGGGGGATCACCTCAGGTCTGCGTTTTCAAAATTCGGACTTACTGAGTAGGGTCTAGGTTGGGTACTGCCCCCACCCAGTAACAGTTGGAGAATAACAATAATATGGTTATATATAGCCCTCAATAGGACCCCTATTATAGACTGTTACTGGGTGAGGGCAGTACCCAAGGTCTAGGGATTACAGAGTTCGGGAGTTTCTGGGTCCAAGGCCTCATGCTTTAGTTACAGTAGCCAGGATCGTGGCAAAGCCACTCAGGCTTTGATTTGGGTGTTCTCCTGGGAGGAAGGAGAGAGAAAATCTTTCACATGAAGGTTAATTAACCGTGACACAGTTCCTATGGAGTTTGTCAAGGTTCTGCGCATTTTTGGGTGTGCTTATGACAAGGCCCATGATTCTGCGGCATGTGAAGCGACCCTCGTTTGAGACAAGTGCGGTAGGAATTTAAGGTAGCATGAGACTTGTATCCACATGAGCTATAGTCTAAATTCCTTAAAGGAGGGTTACATGGGGGATCATAGAGGTGAGTATTATAGACGTTGCTAAGGGGGATGCTAGGAATTTAGATTATAGCTCAGATAATGATGACAGCAACCTGCGGCCAGAGGGGTCCACCGCATACAGCTTGGCTCACACTGATATGGGGGGGGGTTCCAAAAAAAGGGCTACATGTTTGTGGTGCCTATACTCAGGATGAAAGTATTTTTGGGTTCATATTGGGGTCCCCCAATTTTGGGAAACTACCACATCGCTGCTGCTTGAGGTCAACAACATGGATCAGAACGAGAAGGCATTCCAGAAGCAGGCTGCACATGAAGCCGAGTTGCGGATGGATGGCTCTGGAAGCTCTCTGGGGGTTGCAAGGTTGTAAATCTGCCAGGATGCCGTCTTCATTGGCTCCAAGCGCCTGACTGGAAAGAAGACCAAGAAGGACCACGGAAAGAGTTTGCGTTCGCCTAGTGCCACTGGGCACCCCAAAACTTTGAATCGTGGAACCTGCAAAGGCCGCCCGCTACTGGCGCACTGTGGGTCTTGGCTTCGCCACACCCAAGGAAGCCAAGGAGGGGAAGCTTGGGCCAATCATTGTGACTGTGGAATTAGGGCCTGAGGATTTCCGGTGTTGAGTTTCCAGCTATGTGATGTGTGCCAACACTGCCAGATCACCTAAGGAACTTCGTTGACAAGAAGTGCCCCTTCACCGGGTCACTTGGATTAGTTGAAGTTCTCTTTTAATCTTGCATGTCTTGCGACCACATGTGCATGGCACCCGATGGGTCACGCGCGCGCGCAAATTGAGGAACGTCAGCATCCGCGGAGCTGTCCTGAAGGGCATGGTCATCTCGACGAAGATGAAGCGCACCATCGTGATCCGCCGCAACTACCTCCACTACATCAAGAAGTTCAATCGGTTCGAGAAGCGCCACAGCAACCTTCCAGTCCACTGCTCCCCAGCATTCGAGCCGAAGGAGGGTGACATCGTGACTGCCGGCCAGTGCCGACCACTGGCTAAGACGGTTCGCTTCAACGTCCTTAAGGTGGGATTCAAAGTGCCAGGTTTCTTCGTCTGAGGGGAGTGCGCAAAGACGTTGCTGCATCTGCTTCTGAGCAGGTCGACAAGAACCAGATCTTCGGCTCCGCCCGAAAGCAGTTCGCCCTGTTCTGAGAGAGCACTTTCCCAACTGTGACGAGGAGGTCGAAAATGTGCATATCTGGGCATCTCTGTGCCGTGGGAGCATTGCTTAGGCAGAACTCTGTGCCACCATATACTGATTTCCCCAGCAGCGCTATACCAGTAACCCGGACTGACTATGAACCAGGAAGACTACGTACAATGCGGCAACAACCATTGTTTGCAAAAACGTTCCTTCCTGATAGTCTGCAGCGTGATTGTGGCACTAGGTTAAAGGATGTTAAGGATTTCAGGGTCAGGGCTCAGGGACTGAGATGTTGATTCTCTGAATGTGTTTAGGGCCAGTGCTATAGGAATAGATTTGGGTTTAGGTAAGCCTACTCTGTTGACCCTCGGATCTGAGTACTGCTCAGCGCCTGGATGCGAGGGTTCTTGGCAGGGCTACCTAGAGCCACTATTGGAAGGTACGCATGGTACCTACTTGGTCTTGTACGTAGAAGATACTAGACATAAACTCAGGCAGCCACAAAGAAGGATAGGGTATATACCAGTCTTGGGCTAAGAATTTGCAACAACAGTTGACTAGACATAAGTTGGCCTTGCGTGAGTGAGAGCATATTTGCTGGTGTTTACAGAGAACGGAGGACCCATCCCTGCATGTCTTGTTAGTACAAGGTGGTCATTTGCACGAGTTGTTGTTGCCCTTGGGGATGCGGAAACATTTTGAACTACAGCTATCTGCTTCCCGCTTAACGTTTGGAAGCAAGAGCACTCTGCACAGGAGCATAGTTCGATAGGCTTCAACCCAACACGATGAGTACAAAGTTTCTTAAATCCTGATAAGTAACACCAGTTTCCATGTCATTTCCAATTGTCTTTTCCATTTGAATCTCCATTATGGGATAATATCCCGACATACCTCTTTAAAGAGACCTAGGTTTTCCATTTCATGTTTTGTTTATTTTCCATTTGATTCTCCATGATGGGATAACATCCCTACAGACCCATTTAAAGGGACCTAGGGTTTCCATTTCACTTTCAATGTTCTTTTCCATTTGATTCTCCATTATGGGAGAATATGGTAACTTAATCTAGGTTCCTTGCCCTAAGGGTCCAAGGACCCAAATAATAGGTTTTTTTAGGGCCCAAATACTACAATATTATTGGTATTTGGGCCCTAAAATCCCATTATTTGGGTCCTCGGACCCTTAGGGTAGGTTCCTTGACTTCAACCCAACAGGATGGGTACGAAGCGTGGAAGCAAGGTAAGCAGGTGCCAATTAACAGGGCGAATGGTCTTCGAAACCCACAGGCGCCGAGATATACTAGTTAGGAGATGGTCCTCTCTTTCAACCTAGGGTCCTAACTGAAGGCCGCATATACTCCCCAGAGCTATAGATACATACTTATCCGTCATGCTGTCAGTCAACTAATCCCCTACCCTCCTAACATTAGATATTCGCCATGCAACGTAGAGTACTTAATATCTGGGCGCTGGGGGTTGATTTTCGGGGGAGCGGCTTATTTTTGTTGCCGTGCACATGACGGGCTCAGAGCTACGGGAGCTTTGACCGCCGTGCAGCGAAACCGCGCATGGGCCTTGGTTCAGGGGCCTCAAAAGGTGGGATGAACGTAGGTGGGTTAAAGAATCCTTAGTATGTATACTATTTTGGGGCTTTTTCCCTATACCCTAAACCCTAAACACCAAAATAGTAGTTTCCGTTTTCTTTTCCATTATCCCTATATAACCCCTTTGGGGCTTATACCCTATACCCCACCTTCCTTCATGCCACCTTCTGAGCCTTTTGATTGGTGCATTGCAGGAGACACCCTTGGGGTTTAGGGTGCGGGGGTTTAGGGTTTAGGGGGGCCAATCTAATCAGACAAATGGACGTTGAGCCCCATAGTTTGGTATCGTTGCTTTTTGTGTGGGTCTATGGAGTCAGATAATTAGGAAGACCCCCTGATGCACCATGTATATTCGTTTGTGTGGAAAGTCCTGACTGCCAAACCTCTCGAAATAACAACAGAAGCACCTTGCAAGAACCATGCAGGCGCTTTTCTAGGTTCGTTTCGCATGGGGCTGCGTGGATTACAAGGGTATACATGGGTGCAATAATGCCGGAGCGTATGTGGATTCTCCGCCGAGATGGTTAAGTGGAGTGCTGCCTGCGTTCAGTCTTTTGACGTGGTCCAAAGTACACCGCCCCAGCAGAACAGATAAAGCTGGGAGGTTCATTATAACAACAACCTCCTTGAAATCATTGCAATCCCCATGCATTATTTTGGTTCAAAGCCCCCCGCCTTTTGAGAAACTCTTGGCTAGGCACATGTACAGGGTTTATATCATGCTTGCGCTTGAGGTCAACAACATGGATCAGAACGAGAAGGCGTTCCAGAAGCAGGCAGGACGTCATGGACATCTGAACAAGACCTCTGCGGGCCCTAACTAGCGCAGCACAGCAGTCCCGAACAGCAAATTCTGTCAGGATGCCGTCTTCATTGGCTCCAAGCGCCTGACTGGAAAGAAGACCAAGAAGGACCGCGGATAGCTTATGTTCCATCAGCGTTGTGCCCCCAACGCACTCAGAACCTTCAATGTATCACGTTTCTGGTGGAACTTCCAAAGGCCGCGCGCTACTGGCGCACCGTGGGTCTCGGCTTCGCGACACCCAAGGAAGCCAAGGAGGGGCAGCTTGGACCAATCAGTTTGGCTGTAGAGATTTGTGCTGCTTGAGGTTTAAAGGCGTGAGGATTCCCGAAGTTGAGTTTCCAGCTATGTGATGTGTGCCAACACTGCCAGATCACCTAAGGAACTTCGTTGACAAGAAGTGCCCTTTCACCGGGTCACTTGGATTATTTGATGTTCTCTCTTGATCTTGCATGCCTTGCGACCATATGTGCATGGCACCCGATGGGTCACGCGCGCGCGCAAATTGAGGAACGTCAGCATCCGCGGAGCTGTCCTGAAGGGCATGGTCATCTCGACGAAGATGAAGCGCACCATCGTGATCCGCCGCAACTACCTCCACTACATCAAGAAGTTCAATCGGTTCGAGAAGCGCCACAGCAACCTTCCAGTCCACTGCTCCCCAGCATTTGAGCCGAAGGAGGGTGACATCGTGACTGCCGGCCAGTGCCGACCACTGGCAAAGACGGTTCGCTTCAACGTCCTCAAGGCGGGATTCAAAGTGCCAGGTTTCTTCGTCTGAGGGTAGTGCGCAAAGACGTTGCTGCATCTGCTTCTGAGCAGGTCGACAAGAACCAGATCTTCGGCTCCGCCCGAAAGCAGTTCGCCCTGTTCTGAGAGAGCACTTTCCCAACCCTCGAGGTAAAGAAGCGGTCAAAAAAATGTGACAGGGATTGTACATAGAAATATTACATAGGGTTTAGGGATATTACATGGGGTATAGGGATAGTACATAGGGTATAAGGATATCACATAGGGTATAGAGATATGACATAGGGTTTAGGGACATTTCCGTAATAAAGAAGAATCATATGGATAGTGAAATGGAAGCTGGGGTTATAGGGGTGATGTCCTATGTGACGCTTATGGAAGCATCATTGCCAGTAGACCGGTTACGCTGATCACGAGTCGTTGGATATTTTTGGTTTAGCCCCGATCCCTACCGGCTTCACATCCTGACCCTTAACTGTCGTCTTTACTGAAAATGACTCCAGATTGGCCGCATTTCAGGTGCTGAAAATATCACCCCTAAGCAACAAATGATAATCATATTCAGCCGCAGAAAGGTATTCATTATTTAGGGGGTGGGGGTTCTTATTAGGGCAGTAGATTATAACATGGATGTTTACTCCGGAACCTGTGGTAGACACAGCGCACCCCCACAAAGGGTCCAAGTACCTTTCTCCTAAGTAATTTGAGCCCAAAGTACTTATATGGGAAGTCAACTTGGGCAAGATAACATGCTGTTGAGATGCTTGGACTCTTATGGAGGCATTATACTTTAATCCATAAACCCTAAATCCTACGCTGGCTTTCAGTTTTTCCACTCCTGCAATCGCTTTCTACGCCTTATATAAGCCCTAAAGGAATCAGACCTTCAGAGATCCACAGGTCCGATCTACAATGGCTGTCAAGCCATCGCCCATCCTTAATATTGGCTTGGGAGGGGTCTTCAGCCAATATTTTCAAAGCCATTTTTGGGACATCTATGGGGTACATGTTAAGGGGGTCAAAAAAATGGCTTGGTAGACGTGAGAGGTCCTCCAAGCCATTTTAATTGGAGATCTCTAGGATACATGTTGAGGGGATTAAATGGCTTAGCAGGGGGGGGGACGTTAAATGGCTTGGGTTCTTGGCGTTGTTTGGTAAGGTGTCCAAGTAGAGGTCTTAGGAAGACAGGGGGGCACGTCGAAAATGGCTCAAGCCATTTTCACGCC